ACACAAATAAGCGTATAACAAATGTAAGACCACAAAACCACCAATAGACATAGCAATAATAAATCAAGACCAAGTCAACCAAGCCTATCGGCAACTACAAATACTATGACTAAAACAACACTCTGTTTCTAGATACAAACGATTACACTCAAGAGCCAAGCTCCTACACGAACCAAACGTTTAGACAAAACTTGAGCGTCAACCCACACCCCAATTTCAGATCTTCACATGGGACAAATAAGATTTTGGGATTATGGTGCTCTCCAGCCACATGGTAAAAATCAATTACCCCAAGAAAACAACCAGAGACTATATATCACCGGCAGCGTCTAGGTGTATGCCTGCTCCTAGAAGGTTGATGTTATAATCTTGTCTTTTATTTCTATTCTCAAGAATTCTGGTACATGAGAATCACTGCACTATTTTTACAGTACATTATTCATCACAAGTGAAGCTCTGTGGTCGTTAAGCGAGAAATATTCGTAAGATAAGTCCAGTGAAAAAGGAGTCGGAGGCGGATGTATCTACCGAGGAATCGATCTTCCAATCTTTCTTAGCATGTAATCATGCCCAGAGAGGATTACAATATACAACATGATAAGCTAACTGCGCTCTTGATAGCCGCTGCAGAATAGGCACTGAAGGTTAATACGTGGTCTCCTACAATAGGCTTCAGTCAGGCAACACAACATAACAGAAAGTTGAATTTTGTCCAGATAACCAGACAGTCCACCACACAACCCCACCCCCAAAGAATATTCCCACAATAAAAGAAGGAGCCAATCGGGTCGTTCATCAGTCCACACATATACTGTAGACGTAGGAAAAGGAAAACCAGAGAGAAATGACAATGGCACCATCATGGTCAATGGTTGACGTGATCAAACACATATCCTCTCGGGCACGAGGAAACATACGCTTCCAACCGGGCTATCGCTAAGTGCGTCGAATGCACACCTATAAGCAGCGTTGAAAAGCCTACCACAACACCTGGCGAAGTCACATCACACTCCTTTATCGATATATCCCTTTCCAAAAACGTAACTTCGCATAGACACACCAACACTCACCAAAAAACTGCATACCCGAAGCGAAAGGATGCGGTTTAACACGGTTTGACAGGACTCGCTAAGCAACAGACTCTGACACCACCAACGGACGCTCCCACAAGCGACAGGAGCACACAAGGGCGCGCACAGGCCCACGTAGAGACACAGATAGGAAGAAGTAAATAGTCTGCGGTCGCCCAGAAACACCACAGTCTCACAAAACGCGCAGTCCTAAGGCCTCACACTCCAGACGCCTGGAAACATACACCAGCGGTATCACGTGAACTCACATGCGTACAGACCATGCCAAAAAATAGCGAACATCAACCGTATCCAACGCACCTACTGGACGACCCCGATACAGAACCCTAGAAGAGCATACACAATAGATTCGACATGCAGCGCTACGTGCTTAACAGCGATCCACGCAGTGAACGCGATCAAATGTATTCCAATAAGAGCTACCGTGCACTAGTGCCACACATACGGCTCCGCGCCACTTTTGCACATGAGCGACAGGCTGAGCGGACATGTGGGTCACAAACGCCAGTAATTCACGCGCCTTCCAGCATTAAAACCGTGATGCCCACCCAGCAAGCGCCGCCATAAATAAAGCCCGAGGATTCCCGGTCAAACACGACTGTACTTTTAGTCAGCTGACACGGCTGAAAAGGCAGCGACAATACAAGCGCCCCTTCCCGCCACAACAACTACCGATCAACACATATAAGCACCACCAGCCAGCTCGGCACCTGCAGCGCACCGCAAAGTACTACCGCCGCATAAACTACGAGAGACTCCGAGATGGAGCGTCAGAATGGACTGGGAGCGTGCCCAGCAGACAACTGAGCCAAAACCATATCACAGCATCTTGACCTCAGCCAAAAGCGACGTCCGCCCTCTAGCTTGTCACCGTGTGAAGCTGCGACAGCGGTCATTGCCTTTCAAAAGCCTATACACAAGCGAGGAAGATCAAGCAAAAAGCCACTCCGACGCACTGATGTGTGTCGGGCTCCCGGGCGATGAGAAGGGGGGGGGGGGGCGCGCGTGGTGAGTAAAGACAATAATAAAGAGAGAGAGAGCACAAAGCCAGAACAAGGGGAGAAGGTCACCATCCCAGAAAACTCACGAGGACCGTCTGTGAGCGCAAGGAAACAGCCAGCAACAGCCTCCACCTTCGCTGGCAGAGGAGTCGCTACCGGCCCTAGTGACGCGGTGCACCAGGAATCGATGTCAGAGCCACCCCGAACTGTCACTTTGCGGATCTGATGATCAATCCATGTTCAATGAGCGCCGTGAAAAGGGCTCGGAGGTGGGACAGGTGGCTCCTGTACTGAAGCGGCTGGTGACGAGCTATGTCGTCGAGGCGTATGACAAAACAACCGCGCGCAGTCCCGCAGCACCAAATCCATCCAGGCAGGCGCTGGGAACGTCTGAGCGGTCATTCTTGTGAGTCGCAAAAGGCATCCCGTAGAACTCCAAAAAGTCCAAAAGCGCGTTATCACTGAAGCTCGTCTTGGATGTCCCAGGGGTTCGCATGGCAGCCTGCGTGGTATCACGCACCAGGTCCACCTTCGGAAAACACGTACGGCCAGATGCGCCAGAAAGTAGCTGAATGTGCAGGCAACCGGCATAGCGGTCAGGCGTGAGTGGCAGTCGTTGAGTCGCGGTTAACCCCACACTGGCGGCAACCCGCCGTTCGTTGGGGAGCGACAGTGCAGGGGGGAAGCCCAAGGCCTGTCGGTAGCGGCGGACAAATGACCCAGGCGTTCATGGTTTGCGAACTCGCCCTCGCTACCGGCCAGCTTACGAGAGGTTCAAACCAGCCGGAACCTGGCGTAGACAGGAAGACCCCTCGGTAGTGGACGTGGTGTTCCACGCCGATGCTTAGTGGTAAGCGCAGAGAAGTGGGTAGTGGACAGGTCCGGAAACTCGGCAACAGTCTGAGAAACGTGTCTTCCCCCGAATAAGCTAGCCTGACAGCCCGTCGTACTCTGCATTGCCTCAAGTGGTGCACACGAGGGGAAGAAAACGTTAAGGCATCCCAATCCAAACGTCTATTCTTAACGTCCCAACAGAGTCATGAGCACACAAAAAATCCGCTCCGAGGAGGAAAAGAAATGTCCGCCTGTCACCGAAAATCCCAGTCTGGAAACGCTGTCATCCGATGCACATAAGGCCTCACGGCCGTACGTGCGAATGGGCACCGACGTTATCCGTCCGTTTAATTCTCGGGCCCATGCCCACCAATGGGCGCCGTCTCACTCGACGCTGGAACCACACTCGTTGAGCGCCCGTGTCACACAGAAACAGGCCCCGAAACGCTGTCGATAACGAAAGGACCCTGACGTGCGCGCACGACGGCTCAGGGCCACTACCTGATCGCGCCCTCCGTTATTCCCGAGGGTTTGTAGCTGCACGGGAGCCAACGCATCTCTTTCGCGCGCTTGACCCGAAACGTGCATGAGAAAAATGCACTCTCCGGTGTCTCCACGCGCTAGACACCAGCGTGTCCGGACCTCCGCCCACCTTCATCTTGACTGCAAGATGGGGTGAGCGTCGCGGCTCTTCTGCACTGGCTGTTGTGTAGCAAGCAAAAAAACGCTCCCGCTCCTCCAGCAAAGCACGGGGTCGTGACAGTGTGGTTGGCTGCGCCGTCTGGACCCGGGAAGGTAAAGTGACCAGGAATCTTGTGAATAAAATCGGGGACTCTCCACCTACGCCAGATTTAGCATTTTCATCAGCTGAGATGGGCTTGCTGTCTCTAGGCCTTCTGACATGTAACGTAACTGGGGCTCTCCTTAGCAGATAACTAAATCGATCTTAAGGAGAAGGGCCTTAATCGCCTCATATTTGCCATGGTGCGGGGGGGCTGCGATAACACCACAAACCTGGGAACGACGCGGAGTCTTTCAGCCTGCCACCCACATGGTAGTAATCTCGAGGTCCCCCGTCACGACCCTGTTCGGCAGGCGCAGTGCGCCTCCACGTGTGCGAACCATGCCTCCGCGGCGTGCTCCCAGAAGTTCCGGCAGCTTTACGAACACATCAGGCGTTCAGCCATGCTCGTTAATTTCCCGGAAACTTTCTCGGAAACGTCAGGGTCACCAGTGTAGTGCCGTGAAAAGGGAGTCGGAGGCGGTGTATTCAGAATGGAGTTCCAATCTTTATTAGCCATTAATATCAGAGAGGTTAACACATGACTGCTCTGCTTGATGCGCTAGCAGGAATGGCAGCTGAAGTTACAGGTGTTCCCTACTAAAGGGGATACCTGTAACAACACAATACGAGAGGTGAATTATGTCCAATAACGTGTCACCACAATATCTAAAATGAACATGTCGAAAGGGCCTATTTGCAGTGCATTTCAGTGCACTGTGCAGTAATGACATTTTTGAAAGATCTTTTTGAAATGTATTTTCAATGAGGAACTACTCTTACCTCTGTTTTTCATTTTTTCTCTATTGCTTCTCAATTTGAGTGTGTGCGTGTTAGAGATACGTGTAGAGCATTTGTCAGGCTGCTTACATTTATATCCCCCTGTTATTTTATCCATTGTGATTGACAGCCTCTCAGTTGGTAATCTATTAGCATTTGACTTTATTCACTAATCTACTGTTTCTACACTGCTGATCCTCCCCCCCTTTCTCTTCCTTTTTCTTTTACTCTCATTTTCACTCACAAAAACACTACTCTCTTACATTACAACCTTTTCATTCTGCTTGTACAATACTGTGGTGTGGCCTTTAGCAAACAGTGCCGTAAGACCCTGATAGCCCTGTGGTTTTAGATTCTAATTACTTCTCTGTCTCCTGAATGTTCTCTTTCGTGCTTTTTTACATTTTCTTCTTTGCTCAGGTTTTCTATTATTAGACTGATGCCGTACAGGATGCGTGCCTTGTGCGATTTCCAATCTAAATCCCTGTCATATTTCACTCCCCAGAAACTAGCCACAGCTGCTGAGAACTTCCAGATGGAGCATGACTGGAAGGACGAATTTGAGGTAACGGAGGGACACAAAAATACAGACACACTCTTACAGCAATACCTACATAGGCAAATGTTTTACCTATGTGTTCGTTTTATGCGTGTGCATTATGAACTGTATGTTTGTAAAACAAAGGGAGAGACATGAACACAAAAACAGTAACTGCCAATCACTAAATCCGGATTTACTGGCCATAAATTCTAGTCATAATAGATTCAATCTGTTTATGTCTGTGTCATTAGCAGTTATTACAGCGTCATTACTAAATGTGTTTATTGCATTTTATACACTGTGTGGCAGATACTGTGCTTTCTAAGAATCACAGTGGCACACAAGCACAACGCAGAGGAAAGCGGTGGTCAGGAAAATGACTTGTCACACAGACAGTTAAAGATGTGTCTGAGCTGTGAATTACCATATTGCTTTCTCAATTGCAAGGAAAATGTTTCCATGGAGCATTGCAAATGGCTGTGGGCACACAGGCACAGATGTAAAAAGAGGATACATTGCACACTCAGCTTAACTCATGCAGTATTCATTTCATCGGAGGCACAGACTAGTGTCTTCATTAACATAAAGCTGGAGAATTCACTAATGGAGTTGACTGCCAACAAAATAAAGAGCTATTTAGAAATGTATTAAGCACTTCATGATGCATAAATGTTGCCCTTCTTTGTGCAACACCCTAAAGCAGCCACAAAGTGATATTTGGGCTTCCGTGTGACTTGTTTACAGGGCGATGAAATCTCCTACTACAACGCAAAGGACAATGTGAGTGTGCTTCCTTCCGCCTATTTGCTCTCCCCTTCCATGTTAGCCCCTGCAAACACACAGGTCACACTCAGACACAGGCCGGTAATATGGTTTTACTACACAGCTCCGTCTGTCTCTTGTCCTCCCTTTCAACTCCTCATCTTCACTCCTCTCCTCTGTTTCCTTTCCTTATTCACCACTTTCATATGGTATTCCTTTATCCTTGCCTCTTCTCCAGGCTTTTCTTCCAGTGTTCTTTCTCTCCCTCATCCCTCCTCCCACCCTCTCTCAGGTGAAGAGGTTTTTTGCCATGTTTCTCCTCTAATTGACAGATGAGATGTATGAGCTGGCTACACTGTTGCTTTATTAGGAAGCAACGGTTCACACTCTCTCTCTCCCTCCCCCCTCTTGCATTTTCTCTCTCCCTCTCCACCTCACCATCTCATTCCCTCTCTACTCTGCATTCCTTCCTCCATATCTCATCATGCTTTTCTTCATATATCTCCCCGTCTGTACTGTACTCATTGATGTAAATTGGTGAATGCACACTATGAGTTATACATCTCCACAAGGGGCATCGGCAATCTGGCTGTCTCTTGCTACTGCTCCAAAGTAAAGATGATAAGAAGGCGAAATAGCAAGATATCATCAAGAATATGATGATGCTACATACACAGTATTTTCTTAAACGAGCTGGGAGGGTGTGAAAAGTGCAGCGATGACATTATCTCCTCAGACAGCAGGATGTAGAATCGGTCCTGTGCTTTTAAATAAACCCGCAAACTGTGTCATGCATGCAATGAAGCAAAAAAAAATAGAGGCTTTGAATGATATCTTCAACACACAAAAAGCTTTATTGTCTGCATCTTGATTTTCCTTTTTCCCCTCAGCTGGATGTAAATGAGACGGAGGGAAGGAAATTCAGGATTCGACCAGACTTTAAAGAGGACCTGTCATTTAAACGTGTGACTGATTACAACCACACGGCTGTCCACATCCCCACTGACATTTATGATGGCTGTGAGTATACACACACACACACACACACACACACACACACACACACACAACCAAGTGGTAACCATGGATACAAGTGACACAACAGCCCATTATCAAATGTTGTTTACAGATTGCTCCTCTAGCAATTTTGCCCATGGTTAAATGATGATTTAAAAAAAAAAAGCGATACAGCATAATAGCATCTTCTCCTGAGCCCCATTTTCTCTTAGCTATAAGCCGTGTGTCATTGGGAAGTAAATGAATGGAGGGTCCTCGAAATGAAATGAATTGATGTTTTTTGCCCTTTGTCCTGAGCAAACCCATCAAGCTTTTGATAATGAGGCTTTTGATTCCTTCTTTTAATATGTCCTGAGGCTTAAATTAATTATTTAAGTAAGTAATAAGTGTACGTAAAAGTTGGATTGATTTAAATTCAAGCCAGTGGTCCCACTAAAGGTGAACTATTCATTCATTTTAATACAATACTGTATTGACAAGGTGCTTATGTTTTCGGCTCAGTTTGTCTGCTTGTCCACTTGTATGTGCATGATTTGATACTGTACTGTACTGGCTCGATTTCCATAACATTTTGTGGAAGGGAGTATTATATACCAAGAAATAATCTAATACATATTATGTTTTACTTTTGTTAGAAGTATGTGTTGCATTTATATGTCGTAGGAACATTGGAAAACAGCTATCAACTTGTCATTTAAAAGTTCTGGGCAAAACATCACGTCTGATGTTTTAAAGGTCCCATGTCATGCTTTTACGGTTATTACCCGTCCCCTTGTGTGTTATGAAGGTTTTTCTGCATGTAAACGGTGTGCAGAGCCAAAACCCTTAAAGTACACCCTGTAGCGAGTAAAACTCTAACACAGAAAATACCTCCCCAAAACGCCTCGTTGGTGAAACGTCATCATCCGAAAGCACGTACCCGGAACTAAATGGGCCAATCCGCGGAGCCGTTACGGTAAGCCCCCGCTCATTGGTCCTATCAACCTATAAACCTTTTTCTTACTCAATATCAAGCCACACTTATTGTTTTTATTTCGGCTGTGACTTTGTGTGTGTTCAGGTTGAGTTTGGCTATGTATCGCTAAACAAGGAAATCACACCTCCACGGAGCTCAGCGCGATTCACAACTTACCGACCAATCAGAGCACACTGGGCTCACAGGGAGGNTGTGAGTGTTATAGCAGTAATATTAAACAGTAATAATACAGTAAACTATTAACACTGTACATATTCTTGTTTTCCCGTGAGGAGATGACGAGTCTCCATTAAAAAATGGAGACTCGTCATCTCCTCACGGGAAAACAAGAATATGTACAGTGTTAATAGTTTACTGTATTATTACTGTTTAATATTACTGCTATAACACTCACACATTTCATTCATTGTTTGTTTTTTTAAATAGTCTGAATGAAACGGCAACTCCAGACCCGGCGGCAGACATACGTCTCTGGGTGGGCATTTGATTTACCAGGGCGGGCCCACCCCGAAACTTACATTTCCCGGGAAATCTGAATTGTCAACGGGGGGGGCTGTTAGACCAACTGTCTGTGCCAACTTGGGCAAGCACGCAGCCAAACTTGAGGAGCGCACACAGGGTGGAGTGAGGTTAAGCGATGGAGAGAAAGGGAGAGAGACAGAGAGAGAGCGATTGAGCGAGGCAGAGACCGTGTGCAGCGTTCTGCTTACGCACAGAGCAGTTTGTGAGAGAGCCGGCTTGAGAGTCAATTTCTCTTCAAAATATAATTGATTGCCAGCCTCCCTTGTCCCTGGCTGGCTTGCTAGTTCGTTGGTAACGGAACTGATTTCTTCTAATGTGCCTGCATCTGGCGCTGAGTTGCCATATTCCTTTCATGAACCACTTCCTGATATACATTGTTGCAGATAAATATAAATGATAATAGCCAAACTAACCTAGCAAGAGTAAACTGACAGGCTGCTGTGCCGCATCTGACTCAAAACCCCTCACGACTCAACCCAGCGAAAAACCAGTCTCNGTAACAGTTACGTTGGTAACGTAACTGATTTCTTCTAATGTGCCTGCATCTGGCGCTGAGTTGCCATGTTCCTTTCGTGAACCACTTCCTGATATCCATTGTTGCAGATAAATATAAATGATAATAGACAAACTAACCTAGCAAGAGTAAACTGACAGGCTGCTGTGCCGCATCTCACTCAAACATCCACATGACTCAACCCAGCGAAAAACCAGTCTCGCGCGCAGCCTTTCATTCAGAATTTCATAGCAAAATTCAAAAATGATATTAAACTAATCTTTCAACATAGTTTAAAACAAAAACAAATATTAGGACAAAGCCCTACAAATAACAACAATAAACATAATAATAAAACAATTAAAATGTTGTATTCAGCCCTGATTAAAACAGTGGGCCCAAATCCTGGATGGGCGGGCCCAAATCCTGGATGGGCCCGGCCCCATGGGGCCCGTCCATGACGCCGGGTCTGGGCAGCTCTCAGGTGATCAGCTAATCTGTGACTATCTTTGTTTACACACCTAATGGCCCATCAGCCGGAGCTCTCTCCCCCCCCTGATCTTTCTTCGCAAGCAGTAAAGTTTAACTGTAGTTTGGGGTTTGCATATGTATGCAGTGATCTGTCTCTTCCTCTCTACTGCAGACAGCTGAGCGCTGTCAGACCGGGCCATGGCTGTAAAGGAAGAGGGGTGTCTAGTTCCCCCTCGACACATAGACTGATTTTTTGTCCATCTCTGAAGTTAACCTTTCGCGACTGCAAACATTTTTGAACAAACAAACATTGACCATACCGTTCACCAGCCCCCACCCCCCTCTAAGTGACAAGCTGAGATGTCAACACATGCTGTGTGAACCAAGGCCTAAACAAAGACCAAAGGTTGAGCAGTGATGGACGCTGCCACAATGGAACTCATATGAAATAAACAGCTGATTCCTCACACACACTGTTGTTTATATGCATAAAATAGGGAGAAACATGTCTCTGATTAATAATTCAATAACGTATTTTCTCCATAAAAGCTGGTGGGTTGAAAGCAATACGGGAGGTGAAAATAACTATATTGTAGAATGCAGAAGAATTGTGATGCCGTGGATTTATCTGAAAACTGACAGCATAATTGCATTTATGGCCGGGGACACATTTATTTAGAAATATTTTAAACAAGTTTAAATAAAAGGATGGAGTGTGTCTTGCTCTGCCAAGTACAACAAGTGGGATTTATAATTTATTACTATACTGTAGCATATTGTTTTGTATTCCCACTGTCACGAATATAATCATATTCTGCATTGAATAATATACATTTAATCATTTAAAAAACAAAACATATTTCCTTTCTATTTAATGAAATAAATGTGGTTTAATCCACGTGAGTTTACATGGATTTTTAGTTTATTTGATTTAACCAGATAAAAGCATTGAGATAAAATCTCATTTTCAATGCTGACCTGGCCAAGAAGGCGGCAACGTTAAACATAACACATTTACACAAACATAAAATACAGAGAACATAACTAAGAAAACAAAAGACAAAAAAGCAGTCACTACATTGAGCACATTAGGACAGTAAGAAAGGTACACTACTTATTTCTGCAAGAGCTGCTGGTGGTAAGGACTTCAGACAACTTCAATTTAAAACAGGCTATAGAGACAAGTGCCCTCAGTTTTAGGCGTGATTGAAGGTCATTCCAAGACCAAGGACCATAATAAAAAAAACTCCTTTTTACAGCCTCAGTCCGCACAGCAGGAACCTGGACCCGTATCCAGGCACTGGATCTGAGGTTGTAAGAGTCACAAACTGGAGCAAATCTGGCACATATATACAGTGGAAGCTTTCCTAAAATGGCTTTATACATTAATAAAAAACAATGCTGCATCCTAAGCATAGTAAGTGAGGACCATCCAGTTAGGCTGTACAGTTTGCAATGATGAGTCCTATAGGGTGTGTTAGAAATTGCATGTGTGTAATCCTCCTGTCCACAAGAGACACTGTGTAGGGAAGCAGGTAGAACTTCCTCACAGGCTTTCTCCTCAAACACCCACGCCAGGATTGAGTGTTTGGAAGTTGATTTACCAATGTAAGTAGAATCCTCTTTTTAATTTTGATGTTTGCACTTGCCTCAATGGTATTGAACACATTTGTTGTTCAATGTATTAATGAATATCATTTAGTTCCAATTTGATTGAAGTATTATTTTAATGTGCAAATGCTGTAATCAGTTTGTTTCACCTTCCTACTAGAACCATTGGCAACAGCTACCATCCCACCAACATACCCTGATCAAATAAAACAAAGAAGTTTAAACTCCTGGTGGTTTGTGGCTCCAGTTTGAACATTCATCTCCAACAAATGGTCCTTCGAGCCGGAGACTGAGCCACACTCCACACAGTGACCAAATGACTGATTCTGGGACTGAAGACATGCAGACAATGGATGAACCCAACAATGGAGGTCAGGCCATTTTTACTGAGAACATGGATGGATCCGAAGGTGTCCCAGACTCAACCCAGCTCTACTTACAAGAGGGCCCGTCTCAAACATCACCTAGGCCATCCACACCTGCTCATCAAACAGAGCCTAGCCTTTCACCTGAACCCTTATTGCCTACCCCTCATCTCATTCTGCAATCAGTAACCCTGGAAGTATAAGACAAAGCCAATTAGCCATCGTGACCTGAAAAGATATGGACGGCCCCATGATTACCACACCGTTGTATAAGGCTGTTGACACAGCCACAGCCCGTGTGGAGTGCGCACAAATCCCCGTGGGACAGGCTCTCCCCGCCTGTCCGTAGGCATGTGCAATGCACCCGCAGAGCCAGCCTACCAGGCATTTCTTGGACAGAGCTTTCCCGATCACCCCGCCCCCGAAGCACAAAAACAGCTGTTCGGTGCGTCTAAGGGCAGCCTTGCGCTCCACATAATATTCTAGCGCACGCACCGGGCAGAGGAGGTGCAGTTTAGCCTCCCTGGCCCCACCATGGGGGGGGAGACTAAAACCCCCCAACTGAACGCACTCCTTAGGTTTTTGGACACAAAGGAGGGGTTCGGTCTGAGTGTCGCGCCGCTCCGGTCACCCCGAATCAGTAAACAACTCGGGTGCACCGACAGAGCGGTTAACTCGGACACCCTTTTGGCTGACATTAAGGCAAGAAGCAAAGCTGTTTTCCACGACAATGCTTTTAGAGAGAGAGGAGAGCTCCAGAGGCTCAAATGGTTCGGAGGCCAGAGCCTCGAGCACTAGGGGCAGGTCCCACTGTGGGGTGGAGACGTGCACTACTGGGCGCAGCCTCCTGACCCCCTGTAAAAACCGCAACATCAGTGGTTGACTAAAGGCTGACCTGCCGCCAAATCCCTCATGGCAGGACGAGATGGCTGCTGCATACACCTTCACTGTTGAATGCAGAAGCCCTCTGTCCACCAGTAACTGTAATAAGGATAAAATAGAGCCTAACTCACAAGATAGGGGCTCTATTCTCCGCTCCTCACACCATCGCTGGAATCCCAGCCACTTTGGCCTGTAACAGGCTGTGGTGGATCCTGCTCTATCTGCCTGGATAGACTGTCAGACAATCCACCCTGTCTCAGCCTGTCCCTCTCAGGAGCCAAGCCTGGAGAGGTTGGCCGAGAGTGGGTAACTCTCAGATTGCACCTGCCTCTTGAGACACCGCCCCCCAGAACTGGGGAACCGCCCAGGGCTGGCCCACCTTCATCTGTGTCATCTCTGAGTACCACGGAGCCCTGATGCGATCCGGAGCCAACAATGCAACAACAACAGACACAGCCTGTTTCTGCACGAGAGCCTGAATCTCTGCTGAGAGGAAACCCATCTCCTCTTGAGAGGACAGATTCACCTCTTGCATGCCCATAAAAGGGCGTCGGGACGCTGCAAAACTGGAGTGAATAACCCCGTTTCAGCGTCCTATCCATCCACTTTGATAGTACACAGCTGAGTTTCCATTCCCCATAACTGTCAAAGTCTGCTCCATCATTCACCAGTAGTTTTCCATTCACCTGTCTCACCTGTTAACCACACCCACGTTTTTGCTCACTCTCTTTCTCTTCTGCACCCATTAGCTTTACTGCCAGTATTTAAACCCTCACCAGACACACACCCGTTGCCAGATCGTACTTTGCCTTCATGCTAGTCTGTTTTCCCTTTAAACTGTGGGTTTTTCTCCGCAAGTTTTTCCTTGTACAATGTGGGGGTCTACACTCTAAAAACGAACTCAGGCGACCTTTCACCTCCACTTAATTAAATGCATGGTTGCAAGATAAAAATGTGAGTTCATTGATTTGGATAAACATTTTAAGTTGCAAATATTAATTTATAAGTTGTGTTGATGTAATAATGTTGGTAAATACAGTACATCAACTTAATATTGTGTGTAATCTGATTTATGCGTTAATTGACTTAAAAACAAAATTCAAGTTGTAGTAAGTAATGCAATTGGCTTGATAACTTAATTGTTCTACACCTTGAGTTAAGGATTTCAAGTCCACTCCCACTTAACAGGCCTGGACAAGTTCCGACAGTTAAGACACATAGAAATATACAAAGGACATTTTCAGGTGAGTGTCATCTTTTGTCATTCAAATACAGTAGATAGCCTTGTGGTTGCACTGTATAAGCAAATTGCTGTTTGACCAAAATTAGCAACCTTTGAACTGTGAATAGTTATGTGAGAGGATACAAAGTAGTCGAGGCTACTGTGAGAGTAAAAATACTTTGGTTACTATTGTGATATCGCTTTTTATTAAAAATGAGTCTCGGTGAAGCAGATCAAGGACATGCTTCTTGAGGTAGGATCGTTATTTAGCGTTGTCATTGAAATGAAAGTTGTTGGCAGTCACCCATTCAGAATATATTCATGTAGGTAATTTCTCTTTTTTTCCTTTTTCAAAAATAGCACAATACAATTGAAGTACGCAGAGAACTATNTGTGGTGACACGTTATTGGACAAAATTCACCTCTCGTATTTGTTGCCACACGGACCTTAGTAGGCGAACACCTGCTAACTCAGCTGCCCATGCCTGCTAGCGCATCAAGCAGAGCCAGTCATGTGTGTAACCTCTCTGATATTAATGGCTAAACAAATATTTGGAATCCATTTTCCGCAATACACGCCTCCGACTCCCTTTTCACGGCACTACAATTATGCGCCTTAAAACACGCAAATGCGTTCACTTGATAAAATGCCTTTTAAAAAAAAGCCAGGGAGCGTCCAGCTAACCAGAATCTGAGAATAGAAAAAAAGAAAGATCACCCACAAAACTTCAGACAGGCCAGCTACCCAGGACCCGCGCGGCAGACATATGTCTCTGGTCGGGAATTTGATCTTACCAGCGCGGCCCAACCCAAAACTTAATTCCCAGAAATCTGAATTGGGGGGGGCTGTTTTAGACGGCCTCAAGATTTCGTCAACGTGGCGGGTTGGAAGGGAGGGCCGCTTCGTGAATCGTTGCTTACGGAAAACAGAGGTGTTTTTAGGTCATAGATTTTTAGGTTGCCATAAGGCCTGTTGACGGTTCTTATTATTGGCTACATTCCATTGGTTTGGTTTTGTGGCACATTTGTAACGCGTGTTGGGCCAACTTGTGGCAAGTATGCAGGCAAACTTGAGGAGCGCACACAGGTGATAGACGATGGGGTGAGGTTGAAACAATGGAGAGGAAAAGGGAGGAGAGGAGAGAGATTGAGCCGGACGGCAGAGAGCGTGCTGCAGCGGTCTGCTTGCACACAGAGCCGGAGTTGTGTGAGAGAAACCGCTTTGAGAGTCAATTTCTCTTCAAAATATAATTGATTGCCAGCCTCCCTTGTCCCTGCGGCTTGCTAGCCGTTTGGTAACGTAACTGATGTTCTCTCTAATGCTGCCTGCATCTGGGCGCTGAGTTGGCCATATCCTTTCATGAACCACTTCCTGGGTATCATTGTTGCAGATAAATATTATAAATGATAATAGCCAAACTAACCTAGCAAGGAGTAAACTGACAGGCTGCTGTGCCGCATCTCACTCAAAAACCCCTCACGACTCAACCCAGCGAAAATCCAGTCTCACGCGCAGCCTGTGTGTGTGTGTGTGGTGTGTGTGTGTGTGTGTGTGTGTGAAAAAAATGATATTAAACTAATCTTTCAACATAGTTTAAAACAAAAATAAATATTAGGACAAAGCCCTACAAATAACAACAATAAACATAATGTTGTATTCAGCCCTGATTAAAACAGCGGGCCTAAATCCTGGACGGGCTGGCCCAAATCCTGGATGGGCGGGCCCGGCCCCATGACGTCGGGTCTGGCAGTACCTGTAAGGAACCATGCCAAGCCATAACCTCAACAGTATTAATTAGTTAGCCCTATCCATACTTTAACAAGTCCGGCTAGATTCCTTTCACTCATAGTGGTCACTGCAGTGACAGCTATTCAAAGCCATTTTCTTGTACGTGCATGGGTTCTGATTGTATAGTTACACATCATCCACCACATTGGACACTAGTGTACCACCCTATACAATGACTATCCCTTGTAAGTGCGACACAGTTTTATCAAGGGCCACAGACGCTAGAAATGCTCAACAGCTCAGGAAAATATGTTGATCCGTCCATAGTCAGAGATCTTTGCCTAGTGAATATAACCAGGGAAGATTAAGTAACATCTAAGGAGTGTTGTAATTGTGAAAATGTGAAAAAGTATAGATTTTATGTTGGAGGCCATTCTGATGTATCACATCCACTAAATGGATACATTTTAACTACAATTTACACTATTACTGCATCTTTGTTGATTTGGACATTATTATCTGCCTTGACTTTTGTTGGCTGAAAATCACTTGATTGTTTGAATAGAATGTGAATTGCAGTATTTGTAACAAAGACTATATTCTGTGCAAGATCAGGTCCAGAATGAGAGTAATTGTTAGGCTAGAACATTTTATTTTAATTGAAAAATCACTAGAAAAAGTATTACAGTTCAAATGTATTTAGAATAAATAGAATATTATCTCACTCAAATACAGTAGGAAGTGTTTGCAGTGCTGAAACTTAACCATAGAAAAACAAGGAGATTTGAAGGCAGACAGCAGGAAGAGAAACAAAACTGACACTACTGAAGTGTGTATGTTCACCCAGGCAAATCCACACAGGTCAAATGTTAGCCTGGCCCCGGTCTGCCCTCCTCAAACTGTACCGATAATGACAAGACTGTGGAGGGAAGCACTGCCCTTAAATAAACCCATCTGTCTGGCATACTGACTTACCTCACAAAAGCAGTGCAAGTGACCATAGTACCATGACATAATTGATGCAGTTATAATTCATGACAGTTCAATGTATTTATGGATGAATTTCCATCCGATTCCCATCCGCCTGACTGTGCTTGCAGGGAAGTACAACAAACGTCATATTGGATCTGAAGCAGTAACTGGATGGATGCTGCTTTTAATATATTTCCCTCTGTGAGTATGGGTATGAATGTGTTTGTGTATGACCATGTGTCTGCTGTCGGCAATGATTCTATTCTTGATCAACAGCCCCATCCCTTTGGCCTCCAGTCTTGGGCTCTGTTCCAAACCTGCCTCCACCTCCTCTGCACTGGCTGTCAGCAGCTAGATATACTGTACACCCCATGAAGCCAGAAACACACACATACACACACACTTAAACAAAATAGTGACCATGAAGTTATTACACACCATTTCGTCGTGCAAAAATAACAAGTTCCATAACTGTCTGCATCAAGTACTGAAACATATGTTTTAAATATATATTTGTGTCCATCAAATGCCTGACGATGAGGCCTTCCTTGACCAGACGTTAGAAGTGTTAAGACTATTTCATTGACTCCTTCTAGAGATCTGCGTCTGAATCAAACAGTTAACAGTTTGACGACGTTCATAAAAAAAGCTTGGTTATTCTTAAGTGTTTCATGAGAAAATAGAAGACAAGATCATATTTAAGACTGTAATAATGAGCGCACCTGAGGGAAAACAGTTCATAGCTATGCTAAAAGTGCTAAGTGCTGAAGCTCTTGTTATGTCACTGTATCATCACGTTAATGTCACACTTGAAAAACATATTGTTTTACCATGTTCAATATTCTAAATGCATAAATATAGTTTCGTACCACTGCAAATGCATGAATAAACACACACATAAAGCAGTGCATAAATATGGCTTATAACTCCTTGATTGTGTTAGTGATATGATACAGAAGCTTGAGCAACAGCTGTTCAATACTCCATACATTAAGCGTAATGCTCTAGCAATTTGATTGACATTAGTGGAGAATATTGGACTACAGGATTTTGGGTCAATATAGATATATTCTTCCTCACACACTTACTGTATGTGAACATGCAAATACACACAGATACACACAGCTCCTAAGATAGCAGGCCGACAGGGTTGTTAAAAATTCATGACAGGGCTTTGACGAGGCTCCTCTCCCCTCTGGGAGATATGGGGGAGGGTGGGGAGGGTTGTGTGAGGAAAGATACCTAATTACCCTTCTCTTTTCTCTCCCTTTTCCTCTTTATCCCTTTCTATCTCTCTCTTTGTCAAACATGTTACTTCCTAAAGAAAGCAGCACCAGAATCAAATACGCACTAAGCTTCAGAGCTTTGATTTGATGAGGCCGCTCCCTGAGTGACAGCTTTCCTCTCAAACTGCCATAACAGTTCATTACGGAGGCCTTGCATGTTGCCTCTCTGCCAATTGATCAGAAACCAGCATTAATCAGTCAAAACATCCAAATGTAACACTACAACGGTTTATTTAATGGCAGTGGAAAACACACTTGCCGTAGAGTGCTTGATCTTACCGCTCATAAGTATCCCTCTCTGCTATTGTAGCAGAAAGCTTACACATCTTCCGGCGCAGACTGAAAACTCATCTCTTTAGACTCCACTTTGAGCAATACAATTACTAACAAAGCACTTATATACTAATAAAGGACTGGCTTATGTAAAGCCAGTTGAGTAGCACTTGAAATGTTTTGGCTCTATGAAACCTGATGTACTTATATGATTCTGTTTTCTTCAAGTTGGTATCTTTTTGGTCGAATTGTAAGACGCTTTGGATTAAAGCGTCAGCTAAATGCAATGTAATGTAATGTAAAGATATCCCAGTTCCACATTATAAATAGTCTACTCTGTCACTGGATGACCACTGGAGTCCCTATGAGAGCCACAGCTCCCCTTCAGCTTATGTGTGTGTGTGTGTGTGTGTGTGTGTGTGTGAGACAGTGAGAGTGTGTGTGTGTGTGTGTCAAATTCTCCACACACCTGAAATCAATGGGCCATTCAGAGCACACTGCCTTCTCTCCCAGACAACAAAGCAATACCCACAAGAGTAGTAACGGTCTAAAAGATCATTAACACCCACATCCAGTCTCATCGTTCCCATCCTTGTTTCTTACATGTCCGCACATATGAACGCTGGTTATCTTTTTCCCCATAATTAGTCCAAACTCAAAGGGATGACAATAAAGTAAAAGTGTGGGAGATGTGAAGGGTCAGCACAAGGAAAATAAAAGAGGAGAGTCTGAAAGGGAAGAGAAAAAGGCTTATTGTGAGCAGATGGATTACCAGAAAGGACAGTCCAGAGAAAAAGTAACAATACTCAGACTCAGCACAATCTCAGTATACATATTTCTCATTAAATGTGGCTTAGGAAAATGAACAGTGGGATGATAAAAGAGAGATATGATGGGAGCTTTATCCAGCAATGCATTATTTTGTTTCCCGTGTAAAGGTGTGTGAATTTGGAGTAGAGTAGTGAAAAAAAATAGGTGTCAGAAACAAGAGACACTTGGGAGAAACAAGAAATCGAGAAGAGGGGAAATGGAAAGGACAGAATGAAATTGAGGAAAATAGTGTTAGAGAGGGGTGATACAAAAGAGCAGAGGCGGAGGGAGAGGGAAAAGTGATGCAGTAGGAGAAAGAAGGGAGCATAATAAAAGTGAGACAGAGGTCAGGAGAGATAAAGAAAGGCTGATTTGAAATTCCAGTTTGACACAGAAGTGTGGCAAAAGGCCAGGAGCTGGACACATGAGAGATACAGTGGACTGGAGAGGGGGGATGACAGTGGGGGATGCACGGATGAGAGGAAAAGGAAGTGAAACAAAGAAGAGTAAAGGAATTTACAGCCGTGAGAGCCCATAGGGAGAGGCGTGTGGCTCCACATGACTTCTCTCAGAGGCCAAACCCTCCGTTGGGATCAGTAAATCTACAGCTGCTTCCAGTCTCATTCCTCTCTTTGGCTCACATCTTAAAGACTGTCGACTTCAGAGAATTTATAGTCTGTCACCTAGTCAGAGTTCGCAGGGAATCAGTTGGATTACTCCTACAACACAAACATTGAGTGTCATAATCTTCTATTTCAAAAGGTAAAAAGATACAGGGACCATTTCCTAAGAAGGGATTTGTAATAAAGACTTCATAAATTGTAACTAAAGCTAATACAATCCTAA